TTGCTTGGGTTTCAGATAGCCCCCCCCCCCCATTGCCCCATTCACGTGCCGGCTAGCAATAGCTTGGTTGCTATTGGCTATTTCAAATTGCAATAGCAGGCTGGCTATTGCTCCCCATTGTTTACATTCTGCTGCCAACAGTGTAATCTAGCCACCAGCAAAAAAATAAAAAGTCAAGGTCAGAATATGTCCTCCATTTTTTTGTGCTGGTTGCTTGAATGCCTGATAATGGGGAGTTTACTTTACATAAATGCATTCACTGTTTGATTTCTCAATTGGTTTAGAATTCACCATTGAGAGAACATATATTTTTAGAGTTAGCTTTATTGATCACCGGATGCAATATGCTTTTATTTTATTTTTTTAAAGTATCAAATTGTGTTTGATTAATCAGTTTCTAAAGTCGATGCTCTGTTAGTAAAGTGTTTATATATATTTCCTGTCCAGATAGGTAAAAAGTTTCTCCCAGCCTGTTCTGCTCTTGTTGTAACATTTCACTGTTTGATTAATGTACAGGAAGCAGCCCTTACCCTCACATGCCGGTGGACTCCAAGTTCTACAAAATGATAAAGGATGGTTACCGCATGTTAAGCCCAGAATGTTCACCAGCTGAGCTGTAAGTAACCGCAGATAATATTTTATTTTCTAGTACATGCTTTCAGGTTGAAGGTACAAGGAATGTGAACTTTGTAACTGTATTTGGAAAAAAAGGAAGAATTTAGACACAGCTTAAAAATGTAACAGCTAGGTCAGATTACTCTATTATGGCTTTTTAAATGCAGTTTGTTGAGTATACTACTATACTTCGGTATTTTGGAATTTGAGATGTTTTGTTTTTGGCAGTTGGTAATCTCTGTTGTAGTTTACAGCAGTTATGACTGTTTGGCAAAGCTGTGGAATTGTCACTGCCTTAAAACAAAGAACAGACAAGTCCAGAAGCTAACTCCTAACCATTTGCACCCTCCTAGATCTCTTAAAAAAATATTAGGGATGTATGAAATGGTTGTTTTATGAGCACATGACAAGTTCTGCTTTACTTGCAGCCCCTAGACCCTCTAAAAAAAAAAAGGCCATTGGAAAATAAAATTTGTACCAAAAAAGTTACCATGACCTGGGTTCTGATGCTGAGCATTTGAAATCCCGTGAGCATTCATTCCTGCAATGAGCTGTAGATCATTTTGCATGATTTCCACATACCATCACTGAACATTGAATATACTTATGAACATCTACTAACTATTTCAGACTTAATTAGCTGCACAATGATATGCAGAGAGGTGTATTTAGCAAGAAATACTTTCATTATAATAAATATGCCAGAATAATTCTATACAATATATTCATACTACAGGGAGCATTAATTGCCCTGGCACCCAGTTCACATCTGGGTGTACGGGGAACACGCATCACAATTGCATGTGTTTGTGCACGTTCGCACACTTTTCTTTCCTATAGATTTCAGCGGGTGCCACATGCGTGACAAATATGGGAAAGTATCTCATGTAACAGATTCTACTTTTTTTTCCTGCATGTTTGCCGCGTTTGGGATGCCATTAACAAGTAACGGGAGAGCTTGTGGTGCATGGCACATTTTTGCCGTGTTCTGTGAATGCACATTTGGTGCGCATTCACGGAAAGTCTAGGTGTGAAAGGGGACTTATAGTGCTTTGTGAGATGCTCTTTGAGGCATATTTACCAACTGAGATCTTCAAATCTGTCAGTGCGCTTTATTTATAAAATGGATCTGTTGCATTGTCGATTGAAACCGTCATTCTGTTTCCAGGTATGAAATCATGAAGAGTTGCTGGAATGCAGACCCAGTGAAGAGACCAACCTTTAAACAGATTGTACAGATGGTGGAACAGCAGATGTCAGACAGCAAAGGACATGTAAGTGTAATTTCCCTTTAAACAGATACTGTGCTTCTAGAATGCATTTAAGGCAGGCCTTCTGTGGATGCCTGGAAAGTCAGGAAACCAGCTATGTTCATTTTTGAAACCATTAAAAGGCGTCCTTTAATTCTTATTTTTAACACCTAACAAAACACCTTTTCATGTTACTATATTCTAACTGGCTGTTTCAGCTGCTTGAGTGGCCTATCAATAGAGCCAAACCTTCAAAAGACATTAAGAAAAAGAGAAGCCGGGCATTAGGGAATTAGTTGACAACCTGCTCCAGTCTCAAGAGAGATTATCAGAAACAATCTGCAGCTAAATGAGAAGCTCTTTAGATATGGTAACTTAAAAGCTGCTTCATTTCAATACATATATATATATATATATATGTCTAAATCTTTTTATTGTTCTTACTTTTCTAAACAAGTGAAAACTGGTTGCTGTTGGTTACTGCACTTTGCACATCATGCTTCTTGTTGGAAAATCAGCCTAAATTTGGCTGTGGGGCAAGCATTATTCAAGAGAGACGAATAGTTTCTGAATTCTGGACTTGTCCTCTAAGCAAGTTATACTCAAACACATTTTCTTAGTGTTATTTGTCTTCATGCACCATCAACTCTAATTTAGAAATATGACTGGTGGACACACTGGAATCTGTAGTTTATTAGACAGAATGCATTGAAATATGATTCAGAGCTAGGCAATAATCTCAATTCCTCTTCTTTCCTTAGAAACAAACATATTCAAACACGTCTCCTGTGTGTCCGAATCACACTCCGGTGGATCACTCAGTGAGGATCAATTCTGTAGGAAGCAGCACTTCATCCACTCAACCTTTACTAGCAAACAGGGATTGCTGAACGACCGCTCGTGTCAACTCAAGCTGCTTGTGGACCCCTTATGTTGCATCATCACACACACTCTTCTATATATAGTGACACAGCTGTCCAACACCAGGAGGGTTGAAGAGGAGAAACAATGTAGTTGCTGAGTCTGAAGCCAGAACACGCACTGCCAGGGGGGCCCAGACATGTTACAGAATGACAAGCTATCAGCAACATCCCCTGCAGGAAATGTGATATCTGAAGACACAGTGACCTCTTCCTATAATCAGATACTTTCATGCGTTGTTCCTTTATGGAGATGGCTTTGTATGGACACATCAGATGAAAGATCAGCCTTTCATGATGTCCTGTGAAAATTTGGGATGTGAACTCTAAGATCCACGCTTCAAACCCACTGATAATGAATATCAGAGCATTGTTGGGGACTGTAAAATGTGACATTGCTTGTAACATAAAGCATGCCAATGTTGTGAAACTTTCAAATTAATGTAAAAACAGAACCCTACTGAATACTTTACACACTTCCAGCCTTATTCAGGGAATATTTTTTTGAAGAGTTAAAGCATTCTAAACATAAACTTTACAAAGCTGGTAACAAGGCTAATGGCAGGACTGCCTGCTTCCTTAACACAGTTGTGCAATCTGCTTGCAATTGCACTTCTGCTAACAACAGTGTAAGCTGTCAGTTTAATACGCCTGTTGAATCCAGCCGTTGGAATACTTACCATGTTTCTTCCTACTGAATCGGTTACACACAGACTATATTCTGCATATATTTATTGAGGATATTCATGCACTTACTCCTATATGAGAGATTTGGCAAATGTTTTTGTTATTAAGAGTTAAATTATTTGGGTGATTTGCCTTCTTTAGTACTGCTGGGATATCATGCCTATTGATGCCAATGTTAGCAGCTGAAGTTAAGTTGCATATACACGGTTTCTGTTTTTGTTGTGATAAGCTGTGAGCTCTGTTCATTGGTTAAAGGAACTCCTCAAAATCTAATCACCAGTGGCATAATAGAGCACTGTTGTGGTGTACTAACAGAATACAAACTTTTTTGTACTTGTTAAAGATTAGTGCAGGTACTGAAGGTCCACATACATTTGTAGATCATCTGCAGATCATTAGACTTTCTAATTATAAGTATTGCAGGTATGGGCTACCACTGAATTTTCACCCAGTAGTGAGGCGCTTGAATATTGTTGTAGAGAGATAAAAGATGGAACTCTTCAAGAGCCAGTTCACCAGATCAGTAGGTATCTGCAACTCTGGAACAACCATTTTGGTTGTCGCCAGCACTACATTTCTGGTCGTTATCTTCCGGGGTCACCAAGATATGTCAGGCTCCATTTAGTAAGCGCTTTCTTTAAACTCCTACAAAAGGGCCTATGTAACAGTATAGTGCAGACAACAGTGGCGTGCAGTAATCGTGGCATGCCATCGCACTTCAGCTTTCAGCAGCCTGAGGTAGGTACACAAATGAAAGGTGATTTTTGAATGTTGGTACTGCACACATCACTTTTCATTTGTCAATTTCCTTAAAGGAAAGAACATTTTGTGTGTATGCAGCGTCACTAATAAAGTGATTCTATCAAATCAACAAAAAGGCAGAAATAGATGGTTTTATGTGTTATATTGTTTTTAACCCTTTATTAGAAAGCCTACAGTTCTCTTTACGAAAGGTGTACAAGGCACCACCCTCTGTTTGCACTGCATTTGTCTTTGCTATTTTTGCACCTTTTAAAATGTTGGCCTTTTCTGAAAATTGTAAAAAAGAAAAAAAAAAACTTGCTTTGCCCTCCTTGCTGTTAGATGACTGAATGGTTCAGCCAAGTGTTAAAAAGAAAACTCCTTTCTTAGACCTTGGACAAACTAAAGAAACATTTATTTGCAACCAAACCATTAATACGAAGGTACTTTGGGGGCACTTAGTCAGACCTTTTTATTTTATTGGTTTGAAGATGCTATATTTTTGTACATTTGTTTTCCTTTTTTTTTACTGTAGTTGTTACATTCCATGTGACTGAATGCTGACATTCCTTTTTTGTGTTATTTTGTTTCTGTATATAAAAGAATGTCACAGTAATTTCTTTTTGCCCCCCTTTCCCCACAAAATATTCAAAGTATTTTTGTATGTATGTAAATAGATGTAAGTAGTGTTGCAAGTTTCAAAAATATTTGAGATATATTGCCTGATTGTTAAGAGCCATTGTTAATAATAAAGAATCCCATGGATGTTACATTGGTATTTGCCTTTTCTATTGCTTGAAATTGTAGTATTGAATGTTTTATAATAGGGATGTTCATACCAATACTTTTCCGATACCTTTCACGAGAACTACCAGCGTCGCAGTGGTTGCAGCTGGGACCTGGCTCTGGCACTCCACCACTATCCTGAAAACATTAGTCTGTATTGTTTTACAAACACTATCATATGGCAATAAACAAAAATGTACCAGTACTTGTATCTGTGAGTACTTATACTTGAAAAAAAATGGTATCGTGGATCTCTTATATATATTTATTTTAAAAAATCATATATTAAAACAGGGATTCACAAATCCCAGGAGCCCCGTATGCTCCTTCAAAATGATAGCTGCCTCCTAACTTTTGGGTTTTTCTCTAGTCTAGTTTTGAATTAAATATTACTTTATTGATTTCACATTTCACAAATCACAAAAATATCAATAGAAACAATTCATACACTCCACAATTAACATAATACATATATGATTTATCATCCCAGTCATACCATTTCCTCTACATAATTACTACCATATAACATATGGACAAGACATATCATTTATACCTTTCTTCCTCGCCCCCCCCCCCCCCACCCCACAACACCTACCAACGCC